CCCCCATGTGCAGCCCACAGCCGCTGCACCCGCCACCGCCACCGCCACCTCTCCCTACATCGACTACACCGGGGCTGCCTACGCGCAGTACTCTGCGGCGGCTAACGCGGCTGCGGCCGTGGCCTACGAGCAGTATCCCTACGCCGCCTCCCCAGCCGCACCGGGCTACATGGCTACCACCGGCTATGGCTTTGCGGTCCAGCAGCCGCTGGCCGCCGCCGCCCCGGGGTCGGCCGCCGCTGCGGCCGTGGCCTTCGGACAGTACCAGGCTCAGCAGCTGCAGGCCGACCGCATGCAATAGCAGCGGCTGCAACTGTTGCACAGGCAAAGAGAGAGAGGGATGGTCCACTGCTGGTCTCAGCTGAAGTATCACAAAGAAGATTTGTGGGCCGGGTCAGCACCAAGGCTGAGGTTCTATACAATGACAATGGTGAGATGGGATAGGAACTTTCCAACTTGCTGTGCTTTATCTGAACAAAAAAAGCTGAAAATGAAAAAAAGGTTGCAGAACAAGCTATGGAAATGATCACTGTTGGTATTACTATGAAAACTATTATTATTGCTATTGTCACTGGTAGTTTCTAGAGTAGAGTGACAGGAGCCCAGTGGTTGGTATAATGTAGGCCTTTAAGTCCTAATGCTGTCTCTAACGTTAGTTTGAGGAATAGCCTCTTTTTTTTTTCCACTCGTCAAAAGTGTTGGTTATTTAAAGCCCTCATAACATTACTATTTTATTTATTATTCTTGTTAATATCACACATTGAGGGTCCTCCTTGTATTTTTTTTTCTCTGTTCTTTGAGTTAATGTTTTCTGATAATCAGGGAAATGAAACCGTTTTCCAATGTGTTAGCGAATATTTTATTTTATTTTTTTACATTTCCGTCTGGAAGTCGAGGTGTCGTAAATCGTTGTGTCAAAAACACATTTGAAGAACTACCTTAATGATCTTCCTGATGCTGAATGTCCCATTTCCTTTCATGCTCAGCCTTAACCTCTTGACCTATGCAAAGCAAACAAATCAACAAAATAAAAGAAACAAAACTGAAAAATGTCATGAGACTACAGAGAGGGAGAGAGAGAGAGGGAAGGGGTTTCGCAGAGACAACAGAAACACTGACAAAAGAGGGGAGACAATGACAAACACTAAATCTGTTGCTTTTCCACATTTCACTCACATTCATGCATCCAGAGGCTGCAGAGCGCTAAGAGACAAAGGCGGCACAGTGGCGTTTCTCTCTGTGACGGAGAGGGCAGCTGCTGGGGGGGCGAGAGGGCGGGCGGGGGGGGATCGGTGGACGGAGCCTCTCCTGCGCCGCACAGACGGATCTCTCTGGAAAGAACGCACCGTTTGTGCTCGTTTGTTGAGCTGTCACATTTTAATCCCTGGCCGAGCCTTTTGGGAACCGACATTGCACCCCTCAACCCCCGGCCCCTGCCTCGACCCCAAACCACCCTCCCTCTCCTCTCTCTCCAGTCGCGTCAGCATTTCCAGCTCTGAGGTACGCTCTCACACTTTCTCCAAAGCTAACCCGACAACTGGCCTGTGTGTCAGGACAAACTAGGGGTTTTCTCGTTGATGTCATGTTGGTCTGTGTGCCTTACATTTTTACAGCTATTTAAATGAGAGAAAAACAGAAAAAGGACAAAAAAAAATCTATTATTTAAGTTATTTATTTTTTTGCGGGTTGTTGACACTCTAAGAGTAGAGACTTAGTGGAGGTACTGTGTTATTAATATTATTATGTACTCATCTCAAGGCAAATATAAGTTATTGATTAGTTTACTATCATTATTATTATTATTATTATTATTATTATTATTATTATTATTATTATTATTATTATTATTATTATTAACATGCTCAACCAAAAACTATTGATGTAGAAGCTATTTAATACACTGTTACGTGCACTGTACTTTTTTTTTTTTTGACATTTTAGAACAAAACATTAAATAGTAGCTTCGTGCATTTAAATGCAGACCTGTTTGCATACAGGTTGACTCTGAGTCTTCGTTTAGCTGGGAGGAATTATTAAGGAGTTTTAGTAAAAAAAAATAAATAAAAAAGAGCAAAAAATGCTGCTTTTCCTTTACTAGAATGTATAGCCGTCGTCGGGGTTTCAGTAGCTTCTGTTGCTTCATATTCATCAAATCAGCTGTTTTACACTGTTGGGAATTTTTTATACTTGAACTTTTTCTTACAAGGGAAATATGTAAAAAAAAGTAAATGACAAAAAAAAAAAAACTTTTCACTGTCAGTGGATGAAGGCTTTTAAAGCGTTTATGATAAACCTTTACTTCAGAATTTCAACCGCATGTAATCGAAGTGAAATAAAATGTTCTATATTTGAAGAAAATTTGGTGGTATTTTCCTTTTTGTTACTTCTCCTCGGGAACGCATCGCGATTATTAGCTACTCTCACACATACACAAATGTGATTTCCTTTTTTCCCCCCTTCTTCTTCTTCTTTGGGGACACATCTAAACAATTTTGGGACCTCTTTATCCTCTTTAGAAAATAAGGAAGGAGAAGTAAGAAATGTAAATATTAAGTCGTCGTCATTGTATAAACATTAGAAAAAATAAAATACAGTTTGCACAAGTGCAGGTGTATCTCAGAAGGGTGCAGACTCCTACAACAACACCAGGTTTTTATTACAGACAAATGATTTACCATACTTTTTCTTTTCTCTTATGTGTTCAGGTATACAATGTAGCTGTGCAGCGCAGATATGTGTTTTGTTGTTTTTGCATCTTTGTTGTACCTTTTTAAGTTTATTTCACTCAGCTGGGCGTGTGAAATTAGTCTCACAGCTAATTAAGATTTATTCAAAAGTCTTAAATAATTTCTCGTCCATTTTATAAGTCAAGAGTCTTTTAAGAACCTCAAATCCTAAAAGACTGTGTGCAGCAGTCATAAACACAGTCTAGTGGCTCCTGCATCTTTTTAAAATGATGGACAAAGGTGGAAAAGTGGAGGACAAATAAAGAAGTGCTTTAAGATCCATCTGCAGAAAATGAACTGAATCTGCATCATGTTTTAAATTATGAACTGTATCATTTACTTCATAGGTCATTGGAATCAACTTTTCAGAGCTAAAATAATACTGCAATGCTTCTTGTTTGTCATTTGTCCAAATACATGGAAACAAATTGTACATTGGAGACTGAATTTTAATGATTAAAATTCTTGGAAATGTAATACTGAACAGGATCTGCTTACTCTCTTGAATCAGCCCCTTTTTTTGTGACATTGCACTGCATGAACTGAACTGACTAGTTTAAATCCTAAAACAGACGATCCAGCAGGAAACGTGGGGAATCCCATGCAGCTCCGTCAAATGAAGTGAAACCGGGTGCTTGTTCTTTGTGCAGCAGAAGATTGATGGTTAATTCAGAGGAACATTAACGTTTGCTGCTGCAGGAGCAGCCGATGACAGGCAGCTCTTGAAACTGATGTTCCTGACAGAAGGATGTTTGAAGAGGAGGAGGAGGAGAAATGCAGAGAAACTTTCGGGTTGATCCATCTTCAAGCAAAACGCCCAGACATCTTCAAAGTGTTTTTTTTTAGCTATCCATGTGTATTTGTGTGTAATCTTAGACCTAACATGTTACCCATTCTCAATTTATTTTAGTTTTTGTGCCGTTATGCTAAATTTGCCTCCAATCTCTGTTATTCAAATCTCTTTATTATTTGTCTTCTACGTTCATATTTTCAGAGAACAAGGTTTCATGAAGCACATTTCAGTTTTAATCTATTTCCTACCTATCACAATGCAAGAGAGGTAAAAAACAAACAAAACAATAATGAAGGTGAGTAAATTAAACTAAACACTCCATGCTTCGTTTCTTTAGGTTTTCCCAGGTTTGTGTGGAAAAGAGTGACACATGATAAAGTATCTGAGGTGTCAGTCTATCAATGATGTATTCGTTTTCTCATCAATAAATCACGCAGAAGGGAATGAGCTGCTCCTCCTTTGCCTTGCTTCACTCAGCTTAAGGGAGTATTTTGGTCAGTGGTGAAACCAGAAGCGTCATGGCGACGTGTTGCAGCATCAGCACAGAAAAACCTCAAACATGAAACCAGAAGCCGGTTTATCTTAGTTTGAATATTAGCTTCCTGAAAGTTATAACTACAGATTGCTGATTTTAAAAAAACAAACAAACAAAAAACATATATATATAAGGGAATGTTCAGCAAATTAGATTCAACACTGAGAGCGCCAGCTTCTGGGAACTATCTGTGAATGTTCTCTGAAGAGAACCTCTAGGTTCAGGATACAACCAAAGCAAGTGTAACAGCGTCTGACTCTTCAGGCTTTGCACATCTGGAGACAAAAGTGTCTTGGCCTTCTTCGCGAAACAGAACAGATTTTCAGTTGGGTTTGGACCTGGACTTTGCCCATGAATATACTCCACATTCATCTAGGTTGTAGTGTAATGCCATCTATTTCTAATTGCAATCTGTAATTTTGGATGTATATTCAGGCTCTTTGTCCTGCTGAAAGGTTGAACTTTTGAAAGCTTTTCCTCCATCCATTCATCCATCTTTAAACAAACTCTGACTTGTTTCCTTATCACAGCTGGAGAAAAGCTTTACCACAGAATGATACTGCCATCACAGTGGTTCCACCATATGGCACACATATCTATTCTTTTACTTTGTTGCACTGCTTTTCTCCTGCAACATTGTTAATCTTGAGAAATATTTCAGATTGGATTTATCTTTTTCTTCACATTAAAGACTCCTTCATCATCGCGTTGTCAAAAGAATCAGGCGCGTAAATGATCTAAAATGATCGTTTGCTTCAGAATTTGAAGCAGAATGATTTAGAAACCCAGATATTTCCGTGTTGATCCGGATTGGCTACAGTGAAGGCTCACATGAAGGTTAAAGGAACACAGACCCGGGCAGGGACACCGGCCACCCTGGCTGTCATCTATTTTTAGCAGCGTTTTCAAGCTTGTCTGTCCGCTTCAGAGGGGAAAATCACTGAGTCACAGTCCGGGTCTGGGTCTCTGAGGCTCTCAGGTTCGCCGTGTTGCTTAATTAGGACATCCCGGAAGAGTGCGACCGGAGCTCCTGCTGCTGCTGCTGCTGCTGCTGCGCACAGCCGAGAGGGGAGGACGCACTGGACCGCATGGTGAAGGCGCACAGCCCAGAACAAACCGGACGGAAATACTAACAAACCCAACTCAAGACGACGGCAGAAGCTTGCTGAGGAGCAAAGGAGGGAGGTAAGATGTATCTATAGGATGTTTTAGATAGACTTTATCCAGTGACAGGGAGGAGCGGAGGGGCTGCACTGGTGGGTGGAGATGTGCGCGTCCCTGAGCAAATGGGCAAACATCTTCACTGCTCCTCGTTTGCTCCCATTCCCCTGCGGCGTGGCTGTATTTGAACCATTATGGAGACCGTTATCTTTCTTTTGCCATCATTTCTCTGGTCTCACTGGGTGATTTTTATGGCATGACTAAGCAGCGAAAGTCAGGATCACCTTCTATAACGTTAACACCTTTACACACAACACAACAACAATTTCAAAGAATCAAATCTCAGTGGGGTTCGCATCAACCTGTGAGCTTCATTGCTTTAGAAACTGAAGTCTGTGATTCCTCACAAGTTTGTGAGGAAAAAATGAGCTGATGTCTGACTCAAAGAACAAAACACAGATTCAAAATGTATTTTGTTTTGAATTGTCTTCACAATAATTTCGCACATTTGAAGCTTTAAATCTATTTTAGTTTTTTGGTTGTTGTTGCACCTTTGTATTTTCTCTTTCTATGCAGGAGTTTTTTTCTGTGCCACCTGTGAAATATTATGTTCAGAATTTCATTTGTTGTTTATTATTATTATTGTTAAGTTTCAGTTTCAGGGTTTTACCCCAGTGCACAGATACAAGGTTTTCCTCCCTAGTTCAGCTGCTTATTGTCTGAGGCCAGCATTAAACTATCTTGCAGTGGCTCCATTGCAACAAACAGCAGGCTGTGGCCCAATATAGCCACAAAGATCAGATACCAGGGCACAGGATCCACAAGCTGAAATCCGTCAGGACCATGTGTTGCTTTCCCAGCTGTTGATTTTTTCCATCTTTACGCTGCGGACATGGAAACACACCTGTGAGAACAAGTGGAGTTGTAAAAACGTACAGCAAAGAATGATGATGGAATCAACTCGACTGCAACGTTTTCTTGTTTGCTTGATCGTTTTTCTGAAACAAGCAAAAAAAAAAAAGATAAAGAAAAAAAGCTGATTGTTGAAGGACTTCATTAATATTGAAGGCCACATGGAAGCTAACAAAAGCACAACTGCAGGAGTCTTCGCATCACCATGGAGAATTTGGCTGACTGACAACAAGACCAGTTCAGATGCTGGATATATATATATATTTTGCTTCCTGGATGTTTTTGCAAAGTTTGACCAGAAACAGAAACACACAGATTCTATACTTCACCCACTTTTTCCATGTTTTGTCAAATTACAACCACAAACTTAATTTAATTACACAATAGTGTACAATTTAAAGAAAAGGTTACATTTTAAGATTTTTTTTTTACTAATACAAATCTTAAAAGTGTGGCATGCTTTAAGAGCCTCAGGTCTATTGAAGTATGTCTGTACCACATCTATAAACATCTAGAGACTGAAACTCAATCAGATTGGATGGAGACCACGATGAACATCGATCTTACAATCTTGCAACAGATTCTTAATCAAAATTAGGCCCGGGCTTTGACTAGGCCATACTAACACCAAAAATGCATTCCCTCATAACAGAAAAATATAACTCTGTGGCACAATCAAATTAGTCTATCAGTTCTATTGGACAGTCAAATAATCAATCAAATGTAATCAAAATAGCTCAAGCTAACATGTCAATAAGTTTGGTTTTTTTACATGTCCAACTTAAAATACTTTTTTGCTCTCTATGTATCTGTATAATGTGTAGCTTAAAGTTAGGCTTGGATTTAAAAAAAAGAAAGAAAAGAAAACCAATAGTAGACAGATCATAAATAATAAGAAGATATTTGGGAAGCCTTGTGAATTCATGTTTCTTACGTTGTGCCTAGTTTATAATACCCATCCTGAAAAATGCAATCTTACTCGTTGTGTGAAGTGGAGTTGAGGTGAATTTGTTTCCCCCGGTTTCCTCCTCGTGTTTTCCTCAGTTTCCGTCGGCAGTCAAGGCAGTAATCCTAGCAGGAGCTCTCCAGGTTTCTGGAGTTCGTGTTGTGGCCGCCCGCAAAGCAGAAATAACATCTGAGTCTCATGACAGGCATGTGTCACTGCTGGGAGACTCCTCAACGGCCTCCATCAGGGCATGTTTGCTGCTCACGGCCCGTAATCGTCAGCAGAAGTTAAACTGGGGGGCTTTATTAAACCTGAATCACTGGTGTGCTCCTTTTGTGTGTTTTTAAAATTATTTTTGCAAAGTAGATATATCACCATATTGTAATGTGTGCTGAAGGTGGCAGGTGTCAGATTGGAGAGTGTGTGTTACCCAACAGTAGTTTGCATCAACATGCAGTGGATAGCTGGATTGAATTCCCCTTTTGGCTGACTAATAAATATTGGAAGCAGGCCTGCATTGTCTCAGGATGAGCCGCACGGCTGGGCGGTGTTAAAACGGATTAGCTGTGTTTTGTTTAACAGTTCAGCTCTAATCCTAAGCAAAATATCTGTTTTAGTAAATATGAAATGTAATCAGTTTGGGATTTTAATAATAAACTCTCCACTTCAAGTTTTCATACATCTAAATGTGCAGTGCCGTACTAACACATTTATATCCCTTAAATATTATTATGTTTTGTCACAACCACAAACTTCAATATCATCACCTTCCTAAAATTATTGCCTAAGTCTTTTTTTTTTTTTACCTAAATATATTTTGGAAAGAAAGAAACTGTGCTTTTCTTTTTATTCCATTTCATAGATCAACATAAAGTACTTTGTAATTGTAAAATCGGGCTAGAAAAGCTCAACTGCCTCAAAAACCACGTATCATTTTCCTTTATCTTCACAATTATTCTCCATTTATAAAATCACAATTTTACATTTAACATGAATGAATATGAATATGTTCATAAACAATGTCTCATTTCGGTCTCTCGCAGTCTTTTTAAGTCTTCTTGTCTCTTCAGCTCAGTTCTATGATGGATTTGTGTGTTTAGGGTCAAAACCTGTGAACGTTGCATCAGGCCAAACAACTTAAACACCAACTGTCTTCATATTCAACAAGCTGCTCTTCCCACAGTGAAGTCTTTGTGAAAATCAGAGTGAAAGCATAAGTTTCCGAACATCTTCTAGTGACGTCCGGATCACTAAAATAATTCATTTCTGCTTTTGTTTCCAGGATTGTCACAATGGAGGATTTAATGCAGCGGTTGGAGCGGGCCGTGACTCGCATGGAGGAAATATCCGTCACAATGCAGGCGTCCAGCAACATGCTCAATGGGAACTGTGTCAACGGTGTAGATGGAGGTGAGTCTGTGGCTAAAAACAATTGTTGAAGTGTTTCCCTGCTGTTCGTACAGTAAACGACAACAGGATTTCTGTGTATGTGCTTTCAGGTCAGAGTGTGGAGGTCTTCGACGTTCTGCTGAAAGGTCCACTGTCAGATTATCTGAACTGCAGCAGAGCTATAGGAAGTGAAGTGGAGAAACACGTGAGTCACTTTATTTAAATAGGACAGGATAGAAATGACCTTTGTGGTTTATAGTTTAAGAAGTCACCAACATGTAGCCTATAACATGAATAAAAACAGAACATAATTTAAAATTTAAAAAGATGTAACAAACGCTTGTAACTGGAGCAACGTTTCTATATGGCCTCAGAAAACAAAAGTGTTTTGACCTATATTTGAAATATAAAATATATGCAAAGAACCATCTGCATGTTCTGTCCATGTCATCAGCGTTTGTCGGGTTCTGGAAGAGGAGTCCTCACGAGGAGCTGATCAGCCAATTACAAGCAGGTTTTGGTGTAACTATGGCAACGGTATGACAAGGGGAGGGAACATTGTTTTACTCAATGTGGATTCACTTTTTTTGCAGTACACGTTATAATTGCATTTCATCACAATAAAGCCTATTCAGAGCTCTCCCTTTTCTGTTGGAATGTGATTTCAAATCATTTGCAAAAGTTTTTGCAAAAATATTCTAAAGAAAATCCAAAAGAGTGTCAGGAGACTAAATTCACATATGAGACAATAAACATATAAGAGATTTAGACATAAATGTACCACTAAATAAATAAATAAATATTTAATCAAATGTTGTAATAATTTATTTAAGACACTCAATGTGTCATTTAACTGAACATTTATTTATTTCATAGCACATTTAATTAATGACTTAGCGATGTGTTTATTTATTTAATTGTGTCCCTTTGACCTTACATAATAAATTAATAAACATAAATTTGATCAAAGTTTGCTTTTCTTCCTTTATGTTAGCTTGTGAGAGTTTCTGTGTTTTCATAGCCATTGCCTGGAGGAGGCTGGAAATGAAAATTTGAAAGGAAGGTTTTTAAAATACTCAGTTTCAAACAGCAGCTGCGGTTAAAACTGAGCTGAAAGAAGAAATCCTTTTTTCTTTCTCATGGAAGAAAAGGTATCCAAAGTGGTCTCATTACTGTGGAAGTGTTTATACACAGCACACAGGGAGTATTTGTTCAAATGTTTGGGAGAACCACGGAGGAAAGAATCTTTAAATGAAATCTTATCTTGGACCGCTTTACTAAAAGCTAGATTATCAAAGCGAAACAAAAAAAAGAGTGGCTCTAATCTAAGCAAATCACTGTTGGGTGAAGTGAAGTGGATTCAGTTCTCGTTTCCCTGGACAGCAGCATGTAAACAGTGAGGACTGCTCCTCTCCAGATCCCGCTCTTTGAAAGAGACACACACACACGTCTGGACAGCTGACGAGTCCTGAAGTGTGTGTGGGAGGTCTGTGGTGTTCAGGTTTCTGCACAATGGCAACAATTTTCTTTTCTCTATAAAACCTGTAGAAAAAAGTTTGAACCTACGTTTTAACTTAAACTATAGTGGAGGACTGTTTTCTTCCTAAGTCTGCAGATCTTAAAATCGTCCAACATAACAGCAAGGGTTTCAGAACAGAGGAATGATGAATGCCTGTATTTTCTCTGCACTTTTTTTTTGTTTCTATCTCTGTGTCTCATCACTGGTCTGAGTGGAGGAGGGAACTGTGTATGAGTGTAACTCAACTTTTAGTTTTCAGAGCCCCTTATATGGAGAAAACCTCCCTGGTGGTTCCTCTGGCCCATGACTTGAGGTCTCAAACACACACAGGACTCACATGGCTGGAAATAACCCAATCTGTGTGTGGGTGTGTGTATGCTGGCCGACTTCACAATCACAATCTGGCGATGATGCTGCCGATAGGTTGCCTAAAAAATATGTTCTTAGTCAAAATCAGTGTTAATCTTTCCAATTTTGCAGGCTGAGATGGTGAATGAGGCGCTGCAGACTCAGAGACAGTTTCTTCAGATGGCTTCCACGCACCAGGAACCGGCACAGGTAAATCAGCACAATGTTTTCACACTAAAACATGCAACTATAAAAAAAACCAGAGGAACTCTGAAAAAGGGCGGTGATCATTTTGGATGTTAATTAGCACAGAAACAGTTTATTTGTCTGCAGAAATGATCATAGGGCAAGTTCCATATGTGGATTCATCAAATCTGTGCTGATCAATGTGGAAACAACATGATGTTAATACATCTGTAAATCATGAATTTTGACAGACCAAAACAGTCATAAAACCTAAAAATATATATTCTTTTTTTGACAAAAACAGTTCCTATTTATGTTTTCACAACATGTCATTATTTTATTCCAAACTCAGGTATTAAGCAACTTTGTTTTAAAGAAGGTGGACGAGGTTATTGATCCTCCATTTAAACATGGCTGCACAGATCAAAATAACGCCACAATTTCTGTACTAACGTCCTGCCAGAAAACCCAAAGTAACCATGATGTTCAGGTGTGAGCAATGAAAAAAAAAAAAACTCCCTGATGGAGAGCACCTGCAGTGTTTTGGTTATGCAGCACTACTCTCTGTTTCACACAACTTCATGCTGCTGCATGCATTCAAAAGCGTGACGGTTCCTCCTGATGAGGGCTGAGCAGACCTGTGATTAGATCCTCTCCCAGCTTTTTTACTGAAAGCAAAGTCAAACCAAACACCTACAGCATGCATACCAATGCTGCTGCAAATCCATGAAAGTTGATTCACCGAACTACAGGGAAATATTTCCGTTTTCTCTGTAAGGCTCTGTAGGAAACAGCGGCAGTGCGGTTCTCGAGAGCAGTATCTCGGTCCTGCGTGAGAGGGAGTCTGACCCTCCTGTCCTGTGTCCCCCCCCCCACCCCGGCAGACCAGGCCCATCCAGAGGGATTATTCTGCTCTTTGACCAGGAAATCTGCTAACGCGACACATTCCCAAAATGCCAAATGGCAGAGGAAAAAAGAGGGTTGTGACAGAAAGCTGCGTATGAAAGAAGCGATAGTGATATCATCCCTTTGGACTGTGCTGTTTGTGTGCTGTGCGCCGGTGTCAGAGGGTCCACCAGGAAGTGAGTACTTCCAACCTGTCAGGCCATTGGCTAAGTCGGAGAGAAAAAGAGCTTTCAGGGAGAGCCGGGAAAGCAAACAAGGAAGTTGTTTGGGTTTCACGAAGAGAGGGCGGAAGAGACAGATGTTAGAGGAGAAATGATTAAATTTATTTAGACTTTCACTTCAGGCATGTAAAATCTCCCACTAAGTCTTCTTTGACTTTTGAAAGATGCACCAGCTGTCTCTCTTGATCATCCTGGTCTTCTTTAACACCCTCTTTTCTTATGCTCTTGGAAGATGGTTGATTTTGTGTCTGGTAAAACTCTACTGTGTTTATTTATTGTCTTTATTAGATCTTGCCATATTAGCTCCTTCCCTTTTGCTTGTTTATTTAATTTTTCTTTCTGGTTTTGTATTGTTTTCTCTTTGATTTGTGTCATTTCTCTCCCCTGGTTTGTTACTCCTCTAGTTCCAGTTCTCTGTATTTATCATTCACCTTCCCTCAGAACGTTTTCTCCTCTCCACAGCTTTTTATCAATCTCCTGATTCCCCTCTGCCTTCCTGTTTCTGATATCCACTGATTAACCCTCCTGGTTGCTTTGTAATTTTCACCTCTCCCTCAGTAAATATGCTAATCAGTTCTCGTTGTTCCTCCTGTTTTATCACCTGTTATTTTCCTTGTGATGTTTCAGTTTTTCCTGCCGTTTCACTAACTACTCCTCTGCTTCAATTGACGAGACTTGAAAACTAACATTCAGTGATCCTCTCCAATCAATCCGAGTTTAAGCAGTAACATAGAGAACGGCAAAGCTTGGTATATTCCCTGGTAGAGGCAGCATTTTTCTTCTTTTTCAAAATTACACAGTGCTTTGCATTGTTCTGTCATATAGAATGTCTAAAATATTAAACGTAGAATCTGTTTAGTCAAAAGATGTTGGTGAGAAGTTATGCTATTTTGATTAGCTTTTAGTTTTCAGCAGGAAAGGTTAAAAACTGCTGTCCTTTTTATAAAATGTCATATTTTAGCTTGATGGGGTCGAAGTAGCAATGCTTTCTCTGCACAGTCGACACTAAAACGTCCTAGATTCCCCGGGTAAAATCACAAACCACCCACTCTCACAAATAAAACCTCCTCACCATACATTTATGTAGCTGTAGCATCCAGTGTAGCTGTAAAACTGTGATAAATAAAGCTGGGCAATACCCTCTCTACTTTCTTTCACCATTTCTCTTTCAAACACACACACACACACGCATACACACACGCATTTCACAAAGTTCTGGCCTTTCTCTCCTGCGCTGCGCTGTTGTGCTCTCTGACTTTTTATGGACATGTTCTATATTTGAGCCTGTAGTCAGTGTGAGAGATAGGGAGTCTGAGTGAGACACAAGGATAGGAAGGCAGAGAAAGTAACGTGACCTCAGGTTGGCCCGGTAACGTGACTGGGCTCGTTTCTACGAGCTGCAGGTCCAGGAGGTTCACACGCAGACAGACAGCTTACATCGATTCTGATCCAGAGTTTGAATATTAAGACGTACAGCTCAGATCATTTGCTTTATTGGCTCACTTTAATTGATACTTTGTATGTCTGTTCATTAATATATTTCAGATATGCGAACAGATATTTATGCTTTGATCCACTTCACTGTAGCTCAGTTCCCAAACTGAGCTACAGTTTAAACCATCCCAGTTTAAACTTGTCTGCAGGTTTTCTTTCCACACATTGAAATGAAATGAAAACACTTTTCAGAATCAGAATCAAAATCAGCTTTATTGATTTGATTGATTGTGTACACATGCAAGGAATTTGACTTCAAAGTCAAGCACTGACAGCATACAGATATAAATTATATCTGTAAATAAAATGGGGATAAACAGGAACTATGTGGCCTTTGAAAGAAAAAAGGATTGTGAAAGTGAAAATGTGCGTATTTTCTTTCACAGCTACTCAGGTTGTTCACTGTGTTAATCAGACAAACAGTCCGACAAAGAAATTGTTTTTGTGGCAGCTGTTTTCTTTTGCAAATATCACTTTGTCGCACCAGTCTGAAGACAAAAGTCTGAACAGTTTGTGTCCAGGATGTGTGGGGTCTGCAGAGATGGTAGCTGGCCTTTTCTGACCCTAGTTGATTCTCCCACATGCGGTGTGGATCTCCGCTGCTCTTGCACAATTACTGTGTCTCAGATTAATTATTTTCTCACCTCATGCTTGTTAGTTCTTTATCTTGCTAAAATGGAAAAGCCGTGTGTGATTGTGGTTTCACATGACAATTTTCTCCTACTTTCTGTTAAGTACTTTGAACGGCCAAGGGGTGTGAATATGTCATGACAAAAATTGAGTGGCAGATACAGTTTGAAGGAAAACGGTTCTGGGAAGGAATTTACAAAGAGAAGAATTTACTCTGGCTTTTTCCACTTCATCCAGTGTTATTTGTTTTTGTTGCTGTGCACTCAGGCATGCTGGAAATTCTTGAAACTTGCACACCGTGGTCCGTATTTCTTTTATTTCCATCACACAGAAGCGTAAAAGGGATACTCTTTTAGTCTTTGGCTGCAGCTCATTAACAGTATATATTTCATACTGGTCTGGGTTCAGGGTGGGAGATGTTTGATCGGTAAACTGTAAACACTGGAGGAGCGGGACGCCTTACAAGGCCAGAGGGATCTCCCCGTGGACGGAGGAATGTCGGAAAAAAAAGGAGCGATGGGGAAAGGTGGATAAGAGCCGGGAGGCACGCTAAGCTGAAGCTGAAGATCTGGAAGATCCAGTGGAAAAAATGTCTTATAAAATTAGACCCTGTTCTAAGAGCTGGTTCAGGGTTTACTGTGAGGAGGAGCGCAGTGGAATAAAGCTGAAAATCATCTGAAGAGTTTCTGTAAACACCATCAACCTAAATAGACTGCGTGTTGACGTCCTTATGAATATCTTCTTCCCCTTAATCTGTTAATTTCTCAATGTTTGCTTTCGCTCAGATGGAGCTCCAAGACCTGCTGAAGCCAATCTCCGATCACATCCAGGAGATCCAGAACTTCAGGGAGCGAAACCGAGGCAGCTCACTCTTCAACCACCTGTCGGCCGTCAGCGAGAGCATTCCCGCCCTGGGCTGGGTGGCAGTGGTACGAAGCGAGAATATAATGAAGTAAAATCTAGTCAGGAGAGCCAGGGGTGGATGACATGAAGTTTAATCACAGTATTTTGTGATACTACTGTCATAAGGATAAAAGTAAGAACTACTTATAGTTGTTATTGCGCAAAGCTCTGACTGCATGACAGCAATTATATCTCCACAAATACAAATATTGTTCTTGAAAAGCTTCTTTAGGACATCAGTCACATGCAGAAGTGTGATTTATTTGACCTTCCCCAGATTTATCAAAAACACACTCAACCTTCAGATATCAGCATGAACTTTTCAGCTTTTACCCTCAAATGAGGACGAATCTGCGGTGGAGGCGAGGCGTTTACGTCTCTGCCAGGATGAGGAAAGACTTTCTCATGAGAGCGCATCTTTTCTGTTCCTGTCTCAGAGTCAGAAACCAGGTCCGTACGTGAAGGAGATGAACGATGCAGCCACCTTCTACACCAACAGAGTGCTGAAGGACTACAAGGAAATGTAAGTATGCTTCAGAAGTATTGAGTAATGATAGTATTCAAACTGTTTTCTGGTTTGGACAGGACTTTATTGTGTTCTTTAATATTTTAAAAGGTTGGCGCATAAAGAGCAGGTGATCTTTGATTGTCTTTAAAAAGGATTTACATAAGAAGAAGGTTGATTTTTTTTTTGTCAAGTGAACCGTCTCTGTGTTGGTTTCTCATTATTATTCTACCAAAAGACCCAACAGTAACTCATTCTCCACCACCACCAGTTTTATGTAAAACCTCCTAGTGTTTCAAAGAGTTAATGAATCCCTTCGCTCTAAAAAGTTTTCCAAGATCTTTTGGAGAGAAACAAACCCACAGGATCATCTGTCCTAGACTCTACCTAATGGGTCAATCTAATATTGTTATGAGGACTTGGTAAACCCAAGATGCCATTCTTTGCTGTAGTTCTTGACCAGTGAGCGTTAGAGGTTGTTTTATTATCCTTATTGCATATTATTGCTGCACCTGCTTAGCAATAACGTGAGTCCCTTGTCCAGCTTTGTTTGTCACATGAGATGTTTTCTATTTTTTAATCGCTTCTCTGACTGTAGATATGGGTAAATCTGAGCAAATAGCTATTTTATTGTTAACATTTTCTGACCTAAGAAGGCTCATTTCCAGCTTCATAGACCTATGAGATCTGGTCCATTCCCAGTCGTTCCCTTTTAGCTTACTTTTGTTGTAATTTTTGTCTGTGACGTCTGTCTCCTCTGTCCCACCGCGCGCTCCCTGTTCTTCCAGCGACAGACGTCATGTGGACTGGGTACACGCCTACCTGTCAATCTGGACTGAGATGCAGTCCTTCATCAAGCAGCACCACACCACAGGACTGGCGTGGAGCAAGACTGTGAGTCGGATTCTTATCTAATTACAACAGACTGAATTAATTCAGTTGTCTCTTCCAACATGTGAAGAAAATCAATGGTGTGTTATCTCAGCTGTGGTTCTTGCTCTGATATTTTTAAACCAGCTAGGTTTTCCTTTCTTTCTTTTTTTCTTTTTTTTTTGCAAACACTTCCATTTTTAGAGGTAAAGCAGCAGGGTTACATAAACCACTGCAGAGAGCATGAATGAATGAATGAACCTCTCCTCAGTGGCTGCACATCACTGGTCTCTGCAGGGCTCTCAAAACACCAGCCACTCCCACACACACTGCTGGGTTTGAAAGTGCCTGCTCAGGACCTCCTCAGTGGATCCCAGAGATTACGATGGCAGGAAAATAAATCTTTTGAATTAATTTGACCTTTTTCCGACTCAGTACCTCGTAAATACACTCAAATCTTTTTACATTTTCTCACTTTAAAACTACAAACTTTCACAGATTCTTGAAGATCACGTGCAACATAGCAACACGCAGTGGTGCATAATTGTGAAGTGGAAGGAAAATAATACATGATTGTTTAAATTTCTTTAAAATAAAAGTCAGAAAAGTGGAGAAGTTTAAAGCTGAGTTAGGTTATAAAACAACTTCCCAGGCTTTGAACGTCTCACTTACTGCATCGTCTTAAAATGAAAAGAATCTGTTGGACAATCGAGCTGTAGAGTTGTGGAGTCTACAAATCTGACGTCTGTAGAAAAGTGAGAACTGAGCTGATGAGGGCTGATGGGAAGATGGATGGAGATAAATGCAGAACAATCCTGGAAGAAAACCTTTTAGAGGCTGCAACTGAATACATCAAACCGTAGCTGTGTGTTAGAATGGCCCAGTCAAAGTTTAGACCTGAATCCAATTGAGTAACTATGGGAGAGACTTGAAAACTGCTGTTAAGACCAATCCAATCATTCTGAATACAAAGAAGAATAGACAAAACATTCAGGCTCTGGATGTGAACAAATGCTAGTGTTACAAGCAACTTGATTAGGATTTAGAATCTATTAACAGAGTGGAGTTTAAAAAGAACTTGATAAAATCACTTGGTAATGTGATTTTACACCTAATCTCATTAACATTTAGGGTTGTTCCCTCCCACTCTTACTGAGACAGAAACAGGGAGAGAGCGGCAAAGAATCTGATCATGTGATCTTAAAACATGGCTAATCGATCGGCGAATGAATGCAAGTATCGGCCAATGCCGTTCCGAGCAAAAATTTAAATTATCTGCCCAAAACATCAGCCAGTCGATGTATCGGTCAACTTCTTAATTTGAAACAACCGCCATATTTTGTTGAGGTTTTTGTCTCCAGAATTTACAAAGCTCTCCAACACGATGAAACTTCAGTCCAAGAAATGTCTTATTCCGCTTAATAAAACCATGTTGTGCCTTTATTCTGCACGCATTTCTCTCTGGGCCAAGCAGCCTCAACAAAACCAGGTGCATCGCTGAGCTTTGGGGACAGCTGCGTCTCCCATGTTTGCGCTAAAAATCATATTCTGCTGCTTTAATGTGAGGATAAATATCTGTCTGATGCTGAACAACTGTGACCACATGTGCTTTGTGTACGCCGAAACCTGAGAGCCTGCAGAGGCTGTTGGTGTCAGCTGCTGCTCCTGCTGTCAGACGACAGAGCCGGTGTGTGTGCGTGCACAAGCAGGGGAGTGTGCTGCTCTAACAGGTGGTCCTCAGGGTTTACTTGAATGGAGGATTTCTTCGCAGAGGAGCCTCGACAAAAGGGGCCTGTGTGCACTCGCTGCCTGTGCCGTAACCCAAACTGCAGGGCTGCTTGCTGTTCGGCACAGCTGCCGTCCGCCGCTCATTCACGGGTTTAGTGACAGCACCGTTCTCTCACACGCAGACACAAGTACGCGCGGTCCGGCCGCAGCACAACGGGGCAAAGAAACAGAGCCGGAGTCGGGAGCTTAAAGTCTGAAATAAAAAACCACAGCAGCAAACTGTTCCAGCAAGTTAGTGCGCCTGTCAGTGCCACACTTTTTACAACTTGAGTCAGAGAGCTGCCAAATATTTGTTCCAGCTGTCCTCTGTGGACTTACTGATAACCAGGCTCTGGCCTGCAGTCTGTGTTCGCGGTGCAGCATGGGATAATTTAAGCCAGAAAGACTTAACCTTTTTTTCCCTCTCTCTCTCTGGTTCTATAGATCTCTCAATAAGTTTATTGCTCTGATTTAATGGCTGGGTCTTTAAAATGACAGAAAATAGTAAAGAGAGCTTCTTAACTAATGTGTGTTTGTGTTTTGTTTGTCCCTTTGGTATTTGGATCGCTTTTGTATTCTGATTATATTTTGGTTTTGCCACTCAGTCATCCTCACGTTTGTACTTTCTTATACACACCTTGTGTTTTGCTTTTTATTATTTTACCTTTTATATTTATCCTTTTGTTTTCAGTGTTCATTTGCCCCTTTTCATTAGTCATTTTTCTTCAGCTTCCCTGCGTTCTGTTAATTGTTCTCACCCTGTGAATAATCACCTCCAGTTACGAGTCAGTCTGTCTTCTTTACATCCTGCCAGATCATTTCAACATAATACATTTTTCATGTCTTATGTTTTCTCACCTCTATCTTATGGTTTCTGTTTCTCAGATTTTTCCCCCTTTTATGACTCAGTTTTTTTTTTATCAGTTAGTTTGGGATTATTTTTGTTATTGCTGCCTATCTCTTCGACGCTTCTTTCCTGGCCAGATTCATTTTACCAAATTGTTGAGTTTGAATTGCACTGTATTTTGTGTCACTCAGCTTTAAATTTTTCAGCTGAGAATCGTCTCATTTGGGAGATAAAAAGTTGTGATGAAGTATTTATCCCGTCAAAAACTCTTAGTTTGAATTCATCCACATTGGAGAGTAATGAACAGGCGATTTTAGGTTTTACCGCTCTGACGTCTTACAGATTCAATTTAGTGCTGAAAAGTCAGTGTTGGTATTTCCTGTACAACACTCCCTCAAATGGACAATCTGAATACTACAGCTGCTGATTCTGAAACACGTCACAGCTTTAAGTTTTCCTCAACCACAATGCAGTTCTTTTCTTTTCTTCCCACAGGGTCCCATTGCTCCTGTGTCTCTCTTAGACTCGTCTCCGCCGCCCAGTGCTCCCTGTCCGCCGCCTCCTCCTCCTCCTCCTCCTCCTCCCGGCCCTCCTCCGGTCTTCACTGATGACGACTCCAAGCCTCAGACAGGCAGTGCAACACCTGAGCACTCAGCTTTGTTTGCCCAGCTCAACCAGGGCATGGACATCACTAAAGGTAAACCCAGTACTGGCCTCAAAGATGTTCATTCAGAGTCAGGATTTTTGTTCCAGTCTTTACTTGCTGGAACAAGTATTCTTTATTCTGCACAGTGGTTCTTTCAAAGCTGTAGCTTTTCTTTTTTTTTTTTTGCCACGGCTTTTCTTTACACTATGCTTTCTGTCAATATCCTTTCACATTGCACACTCTGTAAACAACCAAACTCTTACGTACCTTGTTAGGTCGCTACACTTTAGGTGACGTTATAGTTTACTGAGATCTATTTGTACGTGTGTAGGTCTGAAACACGTCTCGGATGAGCAGAAGACTCATAAGAACCCCAACCTTCGTTCTCAGGCATCACCGATCAAAACCAAAGATCCCCAGCATGCGAACACTCCCAAAGCAGCAGCTCAGAAAAGACTCCCTCTGCTGGAGCTGGAGGGGAAAAAGTGGAGGGTGGTACGCAAAACTTACTGATATTTAACCCCCTTTGCAGTGATTCATCACGTTCTCACGCGTACGTCTCGTCTTGTTTGTTGAAGGAAAACTTTGAGCAGAAACACGACCTGGTGATCGAGGAGACAGAGTTGAAACAGGTGGTGTACGTCTTTGGCTGCAGCAACTCCACCCTGCAGGTCAAAGGCAAAATTAACTCCATCATCGTAGGTGAGCCGCCGAGACACAGAGCTGTAATTATGCACGCCTGCTAACGATTTCTCTAAGCTTGGTTTGTTTGGTCTGTCCCCAGATAATTGTAAAAAGCTCGGTCTGGTTTTTGAGAATGCCGTTGGGATCGTAGAGATAATCAACTCTAGAAGCATCCAGCTTCAGGTGAGTAAACATATATAATCTGAACTATTACAGTGGCTCCTCAGATGATATCTGGCCAATTATCACCTTTAAATACCTTTAAAGTTTAGCCCTGCCCTCCTAACCCTTGTTACTACATGTACAAAAAGAAACATAATTGGATAAATACCTAAATAAATATTTAAAAAATGTGTACATCTTAAAATACTGCCTAAATAGCTCAGTAATAAATATAATCTTAATTTAAACAAACATATTTTTATGTATTTAACTATTTTTATTTTTAACTCCTTCACAGCAAGATATCTTACATTTATTTCATCTTTCATTACCAATAAAAGTTGATGAATAGATTTAAGACTGGTATAGCTAAAGGTGATTTATCGAGTTAACTTACCGTCCAGCTGAACCAATCAGATTTGAACTATTTTTAGTTTATTTCACCTAAGAACAAAACAATTTTTTACAAAAATATATTTTCAGATAATTAAACTTTTTTTTTACTGAGTTGTACATTTAAATATAACATTTTGATTTATTAAGTTACTGATATTTATGGAAACATTTATTTATTCAACATTCCCATTTCCAGCTTTATTTAAACTATGGGATACATAAATTAAGAAATGTGTTGTTTATTCATTTATGATATTGTGATGTTTCGGGCCATCAAAATGTGCCAAAATTAACACTTGTGCTGTACAGCGGATAGTTTTTCAGGATGTTAAAACAAGCCAGTGACCTGCCAGATGATTTTATTCCCTCCTCTCTGCAGGTGTTGGGAGTTGTTCCTACTATTTCCATCAACAAGACCGAGGGCTGCCAGGTCTACCTGAGCAAAGCCGCTCTGAACTGTGACATCGTCAGTGCCAAGAGCTCCGAGATGAACATCCTGATCCCAGCGGGAGACGACGACTATGTGAGTGAGGAAGCAGGAGGAAGCGCCATCAGTTTGTGCGGACATTACATTTTGCTGGTGAACTCAGCGGGATCTTTTTGGTTTGCTTTCTTTGCAGAGGGAGTTTCCCGTCCCGGAGCAGTTCAAGACCGTTTGGGACGGCTCCAGGCTGGTGACGGAACCCACTGAGATTGCAGGATGAGTTACATGTCAGGAATCCCTTAGAAATGCGTTCACACCCCCCTTGAATGTTTTCACCTTTCGTAACGTCACAAACACAACCTTCATTGTATTTCGTTAGGGTTTAATGTGACAGACCAACAAAAAGTAGTTTGCAACTGTGAATTGGAAGGATAAACACACTTTTATAAATGCTCACAAATTCAGCATATATGCAGGACACCTGTGTATCCAGTAGCCCGTTACTCCAATACCATTTAATAAAATTTAGTACAAATAATTGCATTCATAACTCATCTAACTTGTAAATAAAGTTTATCTGTATGCAATAGAAACTCGGTGCAACGATCATTCTCTCCGGCAGGGACAGATAAGGGTTTATAGAAAGGTGAATAAAGCTAAATGGTGGAAGTTCACTTTCCTGCAGAATAACAATGCTAAACATACAACGGGATTAAAAAAAAAATTGTTCTCCTTAATTTAATTTTTTTTGTTTAAATAAAGAGTAATGTGTACAAAGTATCACATAAAAGAAAAGAGGTAAAATTAAATAAGTTTATACTTCTCATTTATACTTCTTTTCAAACAAATACCTCTCAAAAATGCATACTAAGGTATTTGAACCGTGAATGAGAATATAACATTTGAAATAAATAAACAAACATCCATTTCTACAGTTTAATGGTTTATGTGTTAAAATGGCATAGTCAAAGTCCAGACCTAATCTAGTTGAGAATTTCTGGCAATATTTGAACATTGTTGTTCACGAGTCGCTCAAAATGTGCAAAGGTGGTAGAGACTCACCCCAGAAGACTGGCAGATAAAAAAACATTTTAAAATGTTGTTTTCATCTAAAACAGAAAGGTAAAACATGCATCATTGTGCTTTTTTTTTTTTGCGTGCCGGTCTCTCACAAAACCCTAACGAAATATATTAAACTTCATGGTATCCACAAAATTTGGAAGAGGTCTGAATATTTTAGCAGGGTGCAAGATACAAAATGGTTGTGATAGATAGTGACTGTCGGGTTAACCTCTATAACTGCATTTGTGACTTTATAATTAGTTTTTTTGGCACTTTTCAGCTGTTAACTCTCCCCACCCCCACAGGTTGATCAGATTACACTGAAACAAACCTAGAACCCATCTGTTACATGTCTGTGCCATATCAATTAAGGCATTTATATGAGACCATGTAGCTACTGAAAATTAGACCTTTAAATATAAAACTAACATTTTATACTTTCTCTGTTCTGGATTGTTTATTCCTATTTTGGCATCTATTTTTAGCTATGAGGTTTTTGCATTTACAGCTGTGTTAGTAAAAGGATTGAGCTAAGATGTGCTGCTTTGCACTACAAATGTGCAATTTGTCCATAGCATAATTTAGCACTCGTTATGTCTTTGTACATCACTTTAATTTGTAATAAAATTAAGCACAGAGCACTAGCATAAGACAGATAGAAATATACATGAAACTAACGTTTAATTTACAATAACTTTATGTAATGCTTGTCATTTTTCAAATAAAGAAAATATCTCTCAGATCTTGACTTGTAAGAATGTTTGCTAGTAGATGGAAAAATCCAGATTTGTTGGAGAAAAATCCTGATGAAAACTAAAACAATAATAATTGCAGATTTGGACACAGAGGCGCTGGTTAGTGTTTGATCACCATGTTTCCCTGAGAGTCTTGGGTGAAGAGCATTTCATCGTCTTCATCCTCCTCTTCCTCCTCCTCCACAGGTTTGTAACTTCTCACCAATCCAGGGCTCAGGTTACTCTGATCCTTGAGTGGGCTCCTGGTCTGGAGGCCTCGATGTGCCATCACCCTGAAGCCCTCCGAGTCCTGAGTGAACAACGTGGCCAAACTGTCCTCGTCTGCTTCCCTGCACTTCTGCCGTTTCTTAAGAGGAGAGCCTCTTGTGTTTCTCCACAATGAGTCAAAATGCGCCTCTTTTACGAGACTGCTCCCCGAGTGATCGGTTTGTTTTTGTGGCGAAGTGTTTTTCACCTCTGCCCACTTATGATGCGACCGAGTTCCAAGATGAGATAAAGAAATGTATTTACTTGGAGACTTGGAGGAGATTAATCTGCAGTTTTCTTTCCCGTCTTTTAAATGAGAACAGTTTTCAGCAGGTTTCTGAGTTGATGTTTTTCCCTCCATATCTTTTAGATTTCCAAAGCTCTCTGAATTCTGAATATTGTTCATAAAATTCGACTCTGAGCTGCTGAAGTCCTCAGAGTCCTCGCTAAAGGTGAACAGAGGATCCTGACTCCATGGCTGCGGAGCGATTTGACTGTCGTCCTCCAGCAGTGAGGGCTCAAGGAGCCTCCGCTTGCACTGAGGGGGTTGACACTCTGCAGATTTACCGTCTAGTGAAGCTGAATAGTGGGTTCTTTCATTGTGCCGTGTAGTTGTGTTGGTCTCTGCCACGTTTTCTTTTTCCAAATTATAATCCACACCGGCATCAGACTCCAAATCCAAGTTTTCAGAACATATTTCATGTGCTCGTTTTTTCACAGACGAAACAGTTGCTGGTCTGGTTGTGGTGGACGGTGACGAGGGCAGACTTGGTGCTTCAGTGGAAGACATCTTGTGGAGAACTTTTGGAAGAAATCATTTTAAATATAAGTTATTCTAGTCATCACATTGCAGCTTTATTATCTTTATGCCGATTTCTCCTGAGGGTTACCACCACATTTATCATTAGCATATAGAATCATTTGGCCTTTTTTGGCCAATTCTGAAAGTAAAAATTAAAGTTCTATGACATTATGATAGATTTTTCAAACAAAGTAGATCTACAAGGAATGATGGAAAGACTGATGGACAAACTGCATGATGGTTAAAAAGATAAATTAAACATTAGGACAACTAAAAGCTAAGATATAGAGAAACTGATATTTGCTTAGTATGTTGTCGTTTTCATTATTCATAATATTTGTACTTAGAAGATAACTAATTCAAAATGAGTCCCTTTCCAGCAGCTACTGGCTGCTTACCTCTACATTTAGGTGCAAAAAAAGCAGATATGGAACTCTGTTTAGTTTTTGGCATCTCCATTTTTGTCTGAGTGAAGTTGAGCGCTACAGCCAAACTGTACCCTCCACCCGCCAAGGGATTCAACAGTTTAGAGATAGGACGGGCCAGGCGTTTCTGGGAAATAAAAAAAGAACACAAACGGGGGTATAAAAAAACAGTAAATAAAGACCATAAAGTAACAGTTCCATTTGTGTTTTAAACTCCAATAATTACCTTTTTAGCCTTTTCTTTCAGCTGCACCGTGTCCAACCAAATTCCACATTCTTCCTGAGCAGAGCGCTGCGGTGCTGCCTTAGAGTTTTTCATGATGAAAATGATCTGAAAAACATTTAAAAAGGGGTTTACATTTATCCTTCAAAGGCACATCAATATATGCTGTTGCTCTATATACTTTCATCAACAAAAATACAATTATTTTATTATGATTTTTAATAATAATCATGATAAACATACATAAAATGTAGAGCTGATAACATGCTATCATAAATAAGAAAACACTAGGCAGATTTTAAAAAAGGGTAACATTTTGGTATCATGAAAATTTTAAAAACTCTAGCCGTAGATAAAAAGTAAAACACAACATTGGATTAGCTTATAATATAGCAACTCTAAAGTCATACAAAAAAGGTAGAAAACATAATAAAATGACATTTTAAGGCTTTAAGAAACTATTAAAAATGTAAGAGAATAAATAATAACACTTTAAATCAGAAGATTAAATAAATATTAAGAATAATGCAGAATTACTGCCAATCAAACGACTGGCTAAAATTCTTTTTCAAAAGAAACCCCTACACAAATGGTAAAAATAAAAATTAACGCATAAAACTGGTATGTGTTGTGAATAGCACATTTAAACATGAAATGCGATCATTTTTTAGAATTGTGTAAAAAGTTCCTATCTATTCAAGACTGTGACGTAAAGTTGAAGGTAAATATTTTTCGGGTTTTCCATTAACTGCAAAATTAGGTACTACTCCAAAGTTGGACACAATAAGCTGAACTCCGGTATTTTTCTTCCGTTTTTTTCTCCGATGTGACCAGACAGGCTCCGTACTTACCAACCTGGACGATGAAAACAAATTAAACGTTTTTTAAGGAAAGGTTTTCTTTTCACTCATTTCAGTTTGAGTCTGCCGCCTTAACAATGGGCTGTCCGTTTTGTTTGCCTGTTTAGAAAAAAGGTTTGGTTAAAACTCAACATGCGTGTTTACAAAACATAAATCTTAACGATATTGAATCTAATGGAATATCACTAAATACTTACAGATTATCTTTTTTTTTTAGAAGACATGCCTACTTCTGGAGCTTTTGTTCAGAGGCGTAATGGGCACCTATTATTTTGACGTATGCTGGTCCTGGTCTGAGGGTGTGTTTACATCTGTGTCATAGCATTTTATCGAACGGGTGAGTGGAATATGTCATCTAGTTTTTAACTTTGTAACATTTTCGTTGACGTATTAATAGATACACTGGAGTTGTAATGTATAGTAATATGGTACGTGATCTTTACGTGTCGTGTATCGGTTAAAAATACATAAATATCGGAGCTCAGTCTCATAAAAGCATTAAGGAAGTGCTAACAAGTTAGCTTCGACTGTTTCGACATTTAACTTTATTTAGTTTTATATAAATAAACATTTAATTTATAATCGACTTTTTTGAAAAGAATACATTAAAATGGATGTTATTTATTCCAGGTAATGTCAGTGTCTTGCCAAGAATATTGTACATTTCCACTGTTATTAACCAGGCCATGGTTCGAAGATCAAACCGTGAAGTTATTATTCATAAATGTCATGTCATGACAACAATGTTCATTAGTTCTGTTAATAACAGAAAACCGCATGTTTCATAGTCTCAGAACAGAGATGGTTGGTAAAGATATAAGACAAAATAACTTTTTCTGCTGCAAATCCCTGCCAATGTTAAAAAACACAATCAGATTGGATTCATTTCCAGTTTTCCAGACAAATTTATTTCTATTCCTAGGAAGGCGTTAGTGAGGTAGGGTAGCCTCGGCCTATAAATGCTTCATTCATACGGCAGAACGAAGAACAATTTATTTTAGTTTTATTTTTAGGGCTTAAAAGAAAGAACGTCATAGAAAGAAGAATTGATTGCTTTTGGTATACAGTTATATTTGAACTATAACAAATATTTTTCAGACTAACATCTGAATCATCAGCATCATGTTCCACGGGATAGCAGGTAGTGGAGGAGTCGGGGCAGGTAAGATTAATCCGAAGTGCATCTTTTATGAATTCAGCAGGACCTCTGAAGTGTCACCCATTGCTTTGTCATCTCCAGTATTTTACTTAATTTCATCAATTTTCTCCACACAGCTCCGGCTAACAAACCTGAGTTATATGAGGTAAATGTTTTTTTTTTATATATATATATATATATATATATATATATATATATATATATATATATATATATATATATATATATATTGTTGTGTAAACTTTAAAGAAAAAAAAAACTTGAAAGTCCACATGCTTTTAAAAATTGTACTTAAATTTATTCGTTTGAATTGAACATTCTACCTTGTTATGCTGCAGGAGGTCAAACTTTACAAAAATGCACGGGAACGAGAAAAGTAAGCTTTGCATCGATTCAATATGCTTAAAGATGAGCTGAACTGGTCATCGCTTTGACACTTGATTTATCTCGTTTTTTAAGGTACGATAACATGGCCGAGTTGTTTGCTGTTGTAAAGACCTTACAGGCTTTGGAGAAGGCTTACATCAAAGACTGCGTATCCCCCAGCGAGTAAGTTCCACTTCAGCTTAACACATAGCCTTTAAATATGAACGTATGCGTCGTTGTCATTGATATGGAGGAAATTGTATTTTTAGGTACACGGCTTCCTGCTCCAGACTCTTGGTTCAATATAAAGCTGCTTTCAAACAGGTGCAAGGCTCCGACGTGGGCTCCATCGATGAATTCTGCAGGAAATACAGAGTGAGTAAACATCAGAGTTATTTAACTAATTTCTAACTGTTGCTTTGTGGTAATTTTTCCCATTTTGATATCTCTGTTATTTTGTCCTTTTAGCTTGACTGCCCGCTTGCAATGGAGAGGATTAAGGAAGATCGACCAATTACCATCAAAGACGATAAGGGCAACCTGAACCGCTGCATCGCAGATATAGTTTCCGTATGTTCTTTCTCCCAACCACTGTGTCAAACAGTAAATTTATATCTAGCTATTTTGAAGTGAGAGTGGAGATTACCATTACTATTCCCTATTACAACTCCACCATTGGTCATGAGCTACTGGCAGAATATCAGAAACTAGAAACCACTGTCAAAGATAAACTTGACACATCCCTAACATTGTCTTATCTCCCACCATCTGTGAACCTTAGCTCTTCATCACTGTTATGGACAAGCTGAGACTGGAGATCAGAGCCATGGATGAGGTAATTCTGACTTTACACACATATTAAGCCTGCAATCTGCAAAAAGGTAAAAAGTGGAAATCTTCTCATGGTGATTACTTCTCACGACTACAGATCCAACCAGACCTGAGAGAGCTGATGGAAACCATGAACAGGATGAGCAATATGCCTCCAGACTCTGAGGCAAAGGACAAAGTGAGCCTCTGGTGAGTTGCAGGCTTTATTGCAATACTTTTAGGAGACTCCAGGGTCAGTTTAATACCAAATGTTTTGTTGCTTTTTTATGTTGCTGGTCAGAGGTTTAGATAGGTAGGTAAAAAAACTGGACAGAGTTGAGTGTTCTAACTGAAAATGTTTGATGTGTAATCAGTCATTTCTGGGAAAAGTGTGATTTAAATAAGCCGCACATACAAGTATGCAAACCTCCGAATGGATGCAATTACATAAAATTATTGGATATTTATGTTCCCTTTACGTATTACAAGGTTAGAGTTTAAATAGCAGAAGCACAGCGTATTGTCACGTCTCACGGGGTTTCTCCTGCAGGTTGACCACCCTTAGCGGCATGTCTGCCTCAGACGAGCTGGATGATAACCAGGTTCGCCAGATGCTCTTCGATCTGGAATCAGCCTACAATGCCTTCAACCGCTTCCTCCACTCTTCCTAAAGCTTCTGTCTAACATAGATCTTAACTTTTTGGAACTCTGGTTAAGTAAAAAAAAATAAAACGCTACTTTTCCCTGCTTGTTCTGGCACAGTGTGAACTTATATCGGAACAGTTTTTCAGTCACTCTCTTGCCAGTTTCTGTAAGTTTAGTTTCTGTTGTTTTATTGGGTGTGGTGCAGTTTACATTCCACTGCCTTGTAATATCCCCCGTTTCTGGTACATCATGCTGCCTACTGCCTTCTGCCTCTTTTTGGCTCTTTGTGTTTGGCCATGTCAGGGCAGTTTACAAGTTTGGCAAAGCATTAACAAAGAATCGTTTCTGAGAAATGTTCAGCAGCCGAAGTCTATACATTACTTTAAGAGTGTCCTGTATGTGTTTTAAAGCCTTTGGGTTTGTTGTGTTTGTCATGTTTCATCTCATATTGATTCTTTCTGTGTGTGGATCCTCTAAAAGCATTTGTAGACAGAAAAGACCAGCCTTAAGCTGATCTTACATTTTATCACTTCTCAGCAAAAAAAAAAAGAGAAAAAAGATTCAATTGTATCTGGTGATTATTTAACTTTTCATCTATTTAGCTATAACATTGATGCTTAGTGGGAAGGATTTATTTTGATCACATATTTTTCTCATCCTGTAGCATGTCTAATCCATTTTTATTTTTTTTTAGAAGGGAGAGTTAGAGGTGAAATTTACAGAGAAAAACTCATATTGCTGACTAAATATGTTTCAACCTTGAAACACCATTGAGGAGGACATATTTATTAAAATGTATCATTGTATATAGTAGTGTTGATTTTTAAATGAAAACATGTAACACCTTTATAGAAATAAAGTAAAAAAACAAATCTCATCTGTTTTTCGGTGTGTCAATGTTGAGAGGTTAATGAGGATATTTTCAAAGTAAATTTTGGAAAACCACAGTGAAAAGAATACCGTAGTTGTCTTAGCCAACTACTAAGATTGAACAACTAAATGCATCTAAAATGATTACGTGTGCATATGCTTTTAAGCATGCATCTGACCTCCCTTGTTCAGGGTGCTACGAATAATGAATATTCTCCAAGCAACTTCAGTTACTCTGCATAGTTCTGACCAGACATGGTTGAGATCGGTTAAATATGTTACTTTCATGGGGCAGACCAGACTTGTGGGGATACTTAGCGGAGAACTTTGGCATCGCCTTCCAAATGGTGGGTATTTTTTTTTTTTTTTTGGGGGGGGGATTTTTTTCTGAAAAGAATAAAAAGTTGTGTCAAAGTTTTAATTACCTGACCCAAACTGTCTCTCTCAGATGGAAGGGAAACATTGGATGTTGTGTAAGTTTTTCAAAGATGACAAAGAAAACAACAGCTGGGTTGCTGTTCACATTGAAGCTGCAGTCTTGCACAACTGTGGACTGGGAGGGTTTCAGCAGAGAAGAAAAATGCTGCTCCAGAACCGGCCTTTCAGTGTCAGATGAAATCTGTAAATTTCAGGAAAAGTCAGATATTTGCTCAAGAAAGAAAGAGTTGTTTTTTTTAAGTAGATGAGAGAAATGTGTCACAATAATAAGTACGTATGAAGCTTTGAAAACTTGGAAAACTGCCAACTATGCTAGTTCAGTAATACTTGAGACTTAAAGATCAGACAAAGGATACATTTTCATCAATCTTAGATCTTTATTCCCACACAAACCTCTCACTGTTGAACATCTTGATAGTTTTACTTTGGTTGTGGTTGAAATAATAATGAAGATCCTGCACGGATAGAAAACTTTGAAATTAACTAGAATTTTGTTGTATAACTATGCCACACACTTAATAGCTGTGATTTAATAAATCTTAAACACTCTCAAATTTATCAAAGTCGGTGAGTATAAAAAAATAAACTTACTTCTACACTTTTAGCACTGTAAAAATAAATAAATAAATAACATAAAAAATATGCGGCGGCTCCTTTAAGAACCAGTCGCTTTTTTGTTACTATAACAACGAGTAGCCACAAACCCACGTAAAGGAGCAAGAACCGTGAGGTACGTCAAACGTTAGGCAGGAGCGGGGGTTAACGCTGAAATTTTGCAGATTATACCAAAGAGAGACTTTTTCAGTCGCTGAAAGAAAATGGAAGCTAACATTTTACCTGACAAGCAGCAAATGAAGTTGTGAAAAGTGGCGTCTGAGCGGGGTGGTCGCTAGAGAGTTTCCAGGTAATCCCACCGTAGTTCTCCACTATTGCATTAAATTACATATAAACTACGAAACGGGTGAATGTCGCACATTTGACTTTTGGTTCATTGCCCGCAGGAATAATCCAGGAGAGTGATGATGGTTTCTATGTGAAGCACTGGCTCAGATGGACAAACAGAAAATGAGCAAAAAATTTGAGTCAGTAAAAGTGTCAGAAGTGGAGGAGCACATTTTTCTCAAATATGAAATCAGGAAGAGAATCGGAAAAGGGGTAAGAATGTTTTAGAATTATCTTAACTATGATTTTGTATTTATTTATTGAAGATCATTGATCCATGCAATGATCTCCAATAGCAAAGGGAAAGTATGACATTAAGGGAAACTTTCCTTTTAAACAAACTGTTTTCAGCTTTCCTGTGCAATCACGTTGCAAAAATTCCTCAGATTCTGTAGACTTAAAGTCCTCAGTTAACACCAGTGTTGCAAGAAAGTGGTTTATTTTCTCTCCTAGCAGATCAGCTGATGTTAGATCAGTAGGTCCAACCCTTTTGTTTTCCTTACTTGTGGCAAACACAGAAACTCTGACTGGTTTCTTGCCATTCTCATTTCACAGAGGTTTGCAAATTGATGCACTCGTTTTAGACAGCCTGCTGGTAAATGCTCTGTGAACCTGCCAGCTCTGTAAACTAGAAGAGACTATGACTCATGCTCCCCAGCTGTTCAACTTGGTTGCATATGACCTGTGGCGCTGTGGCTGTGAGGGATCAGACCAAAGGGCAGTTAAAAACACTCTAAGTAGATTTAAAGAAGCATACATGATTTTTCTAATGCAAAAAAGAACTACTGTTATACACCACTATCCGAGCCTAAGCTCGTCATACGCAAAGAGCCTCCAGTGTTGTGTGAATCTGATCCACTGGCCTCAGTACAATAACACTGTATTCTGATGCCCTGCCTGTGTTATGCTTGACCTCCTGTTTCTCTGGGCTCAGACTTTTGCCTCGCTTTCAATAACACTGGTATCAAGAGTGTATTTTACAAATGAGAGGCTATATATATATAATTTTTTAAAATACATCAAATAGGAATTGAATGCAAAGGCAGTCAATTCCTATTGGAGGGTGTTTGGATCCTGTCATATTTTACCTCTATATTTCAATGAATTTGTTGAATGTGGTGCATAATTGTGAAGTGTAAGGAAATAATTAATTGCTTTCAGCAATTTTTACTCACTAATTTACTTAAAGTGCTTCCTTGTGTTAGTATGTAGTAGAACTGCCTTTTGCAGCAATTAGCTGCATGTCTTTTGGGAAATGTCTGTAGCAGCTTTGCAAAAAAGGGAGAGATGTTTTTGACCTTTATTCTTTGCTAAATAGCTTCAGCTCAGCCAGATTTGATGGGATCAGTCGATTTTGTGACAGGTTCTCTGCTTACTTTAGGTCTAAACTTTGACTGGACCATTCAAACAAATGTGTGCATTTTGATCTAATCCATATTTAGTTGTTATGCTGCTAAAAGGTGACCCTCCCTCCCCAGTGTTCAGTCTTTTGCAGCCTCTGTCATGTTTTCTTCCTAGAGTGTCCTGTATTTTTGCTCCATTTATCTTTCCATCAACTCTGACAAGTATTTCCATATGATTATTGCTTTGATACCTGCTTTGATAAAACAAGACCTAATAAAAATCAACTCCCTAAACAATTAAACATTTCCAGAACGATGCAATACGATATAAAGATCCAAGCAACTGAACAGACATTAAAGACCATCATAAAGGGGTTGAGAGAGTGAAAAAGTGGAAAACTAACCAAATCAAGAACAATCAGAATCAAACAAAAAAACTAAAAGTGAGCCATGTCAGTTGAAGATATTTTGCTTTTCTTTCAGTCTTATTGTCTTGTGTAACAAAGCATGGGGGACCTTTGACATGTCTGGTGTCCAGGGGCCTGTTAACTAATCCATCCTTTGTTTTGTGTCCTGGAAAGTTTATCTTTCCCAGTGGGAGATTACCACTAGAGCATAAAATGTACCTTAAAGATCTGTAATGCATGCAACTGAATTTAGATATTTTTAACTCAAAATAAAAACAAATCTGGTGTTGTTTTCCCATTTGGTGCACATTTTGTTTTACATTTATACCAAATGTCCTTGGCTGCCAGTACAAAAAGGCTTTTTGAACTCAAAAGTGGATGTGTGAGAACCAGCTTGACGAAGTGTTCTTCCTGTTTTAGGCCTACGGCATTGTATGGAAAGCAGTCGACCGACAGACTGGGGCGACTGTGGCAGTGAAAAAAATCTTTGATGCTTTCAGAAACAGGACAGATGCGCAGGTGGGTAAAACTGTTTTTCATTGTAAATAAATGTAAGTGATCATAAGATGATCACAAAGCACTCTTGCTGCTCTTGCATATTTTAATTCAAATAACACCAGAAAACATAGAAATAATGTAGTCATGCTAACGTCATGATATTATTCTGGGATGTGAATAAGACTTCCAGGACTGTTGTCTGTCTCAGACTAGAGCTTCTGATCTGCAATACAACCTTTCTGTATAAACGTCCTTCACCTTCAGGGAAGACAGCTAATTATTAATTAGAGCAGGAGGATTGTGTTTGCCTAGTTCATTGCATCATCTTGCCTGTGAAGTTCACGTCATGAATGCAGTTTTCTTTCCTTTTCTGTTTCTGCAGCGGACATTCAGAGAAATCATGTTCCTTCAGGTAACAATCATATTGACGTTTGAAGGAGATATATTGCCTAAAATACATTCAGACTTGTATCTGATACGTCGCCACTTATTTATCAAATTAGTCTCCTGTTTCATCATCTAATGTATGCCGCATTGAAAATGTGGGTCAAAATGTTTGGCTTAGCAGGAAACGGTTCATTTATAATTCATTTGTCTGGAACATGATACCGTAAACTGTAATGTGATATTACAATTCCTGTCATCGTGTTCAGATGATTTTTATAAGAAAGATT